CGAGTATAAACCCTTACCCCTTTTCTTCAGTGGGAATAAAAACTTTGATCCACCATTTCTCCTACTTGAACACTGAAAGCTTTCGCCTTCTCCTGGTCTTGGGGAGGCTGTGGCCAAACATTTTTCCAGAGGAAGAATCTAAAACAAACTCCAGCTTGTACACTTTCCCTATCAAATGCAAAATGAAAAAGTCGGAAGCGATTGATCCCCATCTAGGGATGAATATTCCTCCCACTGGGAGGAGAGAGTCATTGGGCTTTGGAGGGTGGTTGAATAGGATTGAACAAAATGCCTCCTTTTCCCTTGCCTTTCTGGTCTGACCAGTGCTTCTTTGGTCTGGCCTCCTTTTGCGCCATCTAAGACCTTTGTCCACAAAAAAAAAAAAACATTAAAAAAAAAAAACAAAAACTGGCTACTTTTCAGGAAAAGCCTTTTTTATTGTGCATGTGCTCCAGGGTCTGCTGTAGCCCAGGGCCAAAGAGACTGTCTCCCTTAAAGGGCAGCCTCTATAGACACATTTTGGAAGAATTCTCTGCCCACATATTAATCCATAAGGCTCTTCTAGCTGAATTCACCATAACCAACTCAGCGGAGTAATTGGCCAGGAAATCCACTGCTTTAGGCATAGGAAAAAGATAAATCTCCTCTCTAGAGGTTCCTGTGGCAAGATGGGACTGAAGCTGTGGAAGTCAGAAATTCTTAGCTACGCAAGTAGCAGCAAGAGCTGGCTTGAGACTGATAAGATGAATCCCAAGCTCTTCTAAGAAAAACATCCACTTTTTCTATCGAGGGGGCCTTTGAGGACATCCATGTCCTCAAAGGCCAGGTCAGACTTTTTTGAAAGTTTAGCCAGAGATGCATCCAATTTAGGAATGTTGTTACAAGGATGCTGGACAGCCTCATCAAAAAGAAATCTGTTCATAAAGGTTGAGGGGGGGGGGGGGGGGGGCTTCTTAGACTCTTTCCATTAACTGAATAGCATCAGATTTGTGGGCAGAAATAGAATCTGGATTTTTTACTCTGAATACCTTCCTACATCAGGTCATGCTTACAGAGCTGTATTTTTTCTTCGATCTATAGTGTCTCGTAAATGATTTTCAAGTTGCCCACACTGAAGACAAATTTGTTATCATGCAGATCTGGGCAAAGATGACCTCTCCCCCTGAAAAATCATCACTATCCTCATTCCCTGAAGTAGAAGCCAGACACCTTTCAACCTCATTCCTGGCTGGTGAAGGAGAAGTGTGGATGGCTTAAACTATTACTAAACACAGGACCCTGCATTCACTATATTTGGTCTTCCACTGTACACAGAACATGGAAATGCAATTATTTTAGTAAATATAAACTGCTAAATACCTTTTCTCATTAGAGCAGTCTTGTGGCTTCTATCAGTGTTCAGTCAAGCACTAGCTAAAGCTTGTAGGGTTTTTTTCTGTAGGGTGCAAAACCCCTGACCTGTCTGACCAGTGCTGATTGGCCCTGTGCTGGTCACAAGCACTCTCCCCCCAAAAAACCTACCAACACACACCAAACTGAGCATGCTCAAAATGCCTATGGTTCAGTCTGTTTCATCGGGAGATAAGAGGTGGTAGCTTGAACAAGGGGAGGAACAGAGCAAAACAGAACAAATGGCCTTTTTACACACATGCAGAGGATTAACCCCTTAGGTACTTCATGTTGATTGCTGCAGGGGTGGGGTGGACCTTAAACCAAGACAGAAAGGTCTTTAAAGAGCTAAATGTTAGTTCCTCTAACAGAAGAGAACAGTTTAGCACAGGCTGTGGCCGAATCATCCTTTACCACGCAGTTAATATATCAGCAGTATTGGGGGGGGGGGGTTAATCCAGGACCCTAATTTAGCCACACTGCACACTTCCTCTTCCTGGGCTTTAGCATGAAACCAGGACAACCTCAGGACCAGGAAAGTGAACAAAATGAAAGCCCCCCCCATGAACTAGCAAACAAAAAAAAAATGCACCGCCAGCCTAAGCCCATCCCACTCTAGGATCTGAAAAATGACAGAAAAACCTCAGTATACTAAAAGGGATCCTTCACCCAGTATGTACCTGTGGGAAGCTAGTGCATGATGAGCCATATTCCACCTGACTTGGAGCCAGAGACGAGTCTATCCTGCCTCTGGAGCCACATGCTGCAGCCTTCACTGGGCTCTTAATGACTTTTAATGCACTGTATACACCCTATGGGAACTGGCTTCCCCGGTGCCCAGTGCTGACATCTGCCTCCCAGAAATGATGCCTCTGCACCTTCCGGAGCCAGGATGGAGCACTCCCCCACAATGAAGTGTACTGAAGCCTGAGTTCCCAGGCTTGCACAGCTACGAGGGAAATATATTAAATAGCAGCACACCAGCCATGTGACCAGAATGCCGCAAACCACACAGGGAAGGATCTGGAAAAGAGGCAGCAGACATCACCTGGTCTGGCCATGCCTGGACCTTAAAAGTACAGAAGCCACCACCCTTCCAGTAAAGTAGGGGTATATCATGAGAGGTCAAAAAAAAAAAAAAAAAAAAAGTACAGCATCCTGCCAGGCCAAGGCTTTTATACCACCCCTGGGTGATCATTCCCAAAAGTTCCAAGAAAACATGCAACCCCAGTCTGGAGAAAACCCTAAAAACTGAAGCAAAGGCCTGGAGCAACAGACAGTCTGAGGAGTAACGTTTGTTTCAGTGAGAATTCCATGTCTCGTAAGCTGTCCTGGACAATTACTTGGTAAAATAAGTTTCATTCTGGACTTCAAGTGGAGTTTTCAGTTCTCTATCCTATAGCCATAACCTGCCATGGACTAACCATTGTTCCAGTATCCTCCAAAATTAGTCATGTTAACTACTTGCCCTCCAGAGGATTTACCACCCCTTCCTGACCAGGCAATTTTTTGCGATACAGCTCTGTTACTTTGACAATTGCGTGGGCATGCAACGCTGTACAAATTAAATTTGTGTCTTTTCCCCACAAATGGTGCTTTCTTTCAGTGGTATTTGATCATCTCTGCGTTTTTTGTTTATGGTGCAAAAAAAAAAAAAAAAAACATTTGAAAACATTTGACTTTTTGCTATAAAACATATCCAGTGGGAAAAAAAAAAAAAATGTAAAAATCTAATTTCATAAATTTAGGCCAAAATGTATTCTAAGTCTGCTAAAAAAAAAAAAAAAACCTAATACATGTAAATCAATTGGTTTACATGAAAGTTATAGCATCTACAAATGGCAGTATATATACTGGAATTTTTTTTTTTTATACTAGTAATGGCAGTGATCAGCGACTTATAGCGGGAGCGGGACTGCGGCAGCCATTCTGACACTGGGGGAAATTGACTGCCACAGACATCCCCCCCAGTACACTAATACAGTGATCAGCGCTAATAAAAAGTGCTGACACTGTACTAATGACACTGGGCAGGAAGAGGTTAACATCTGGGGCAAAGTGTTAACTGTGCTGTTTTACTAAGTGTGCTGTGTGTGGGAAACATACTGCTGTGTATTTCTCTGCTATGCAGAGAAATACACAGCAGCATGTTACTGCTGGAAGGAGACAGACCTGTGTTTACACACAGGTCTCTGTCGGTGATGCTCGGCAATCGGGTGCCAGCAGGGAATCTCTGGCCAGGCACGGCAATCGACATTTGAAGCTGCCAATGGCAGTGTGGATAGGGCAGCGTGCGACCCCTACGCGGAAATGCAAAATCGCATATATAAGCGATTTTGCATTGTTCTGCTATAAGGCGGTCGGGAAGTGGTTAAAGGGTATGTATAGCTGCTGAAAATTCTAAATTTTTAATGAGTAGGGAAGGGTTTAAAGTACCAGTTTATGTTCTTAGTACCAGTCCCTTTGTGTTCCAGAGACACCAGGAAGTTAAAGGAATACACCTTTTAGATGGTTGTCCCCTGAACAGGTACCTCAATTGGAAGAGTTTGCCTTCTCTTGTTTTGGGAACAAAGTACACCAGTACAAATAGAAGTGTAAATCTTTCCAGTAGGGAATGGTAAAGAAACTTGGAAGAGTGTCCATCCCTCTCGCTCTATCCAGAACTAAACAAAGTTTTGCCTAGAAATACACTTTGCAAACTCCTGGCAAAACTTTAGAATCAAAAAGTTCGTCTTTGATGACCCTCTTGGGAGATATACCTCACTATGACAGGTGTCAGAACAAGGGCGAATACCCCCTACTTAGACAGCAATACTTTTGAGGCAGTAAGGAAGGCTCAGACTGTTAGTACCTTATTGATGTGCCCATGAGGGAGATTCCTTCACCTCCTGTCCAGAGGACAAGCGTCAGAACAGGAAGAGAAAGCGGTTGGAACAAAGACAGCACTCCAAATCTAACGGAGGAAAATATTGCTCTAGGTGCTGCGTGTTAAATATCACATCCTTCTGGGGGTGTTTAATTTCTCCATTCCGGCCTTGTTTCTCCATCCTTTTTCTACATATGTAGCCACTAAGGAAGATATGGGGGGCGGGCGGAGCAGGAGAGCAAAGAAGAACACCTGTCAATGACAGCTCAGAGTCCTCTGACATAACAGCCAAGGATGGTGGGCACAGCTGTGATCTTGACTTTTGGATGTCCAAACAAGGGAAGCTTTTCCAGGTAAAAAATGCACATTGTTATAGGAAGTTTTTTTTTTTTTTATTATTGGTCTGTCAGATTTATCCCCTCCCTACTCTATCCAAAATCTGCAGAGGTTAGGCTGCTTTAGCCTTTAACTGGTTAACACTTTACCAATCCAGGAGAAAGTACAGGAATCAGACGTGTTAGATGTTTTGGTATATGCTCATTTGGTTACAAGTAATTTTTACCTATTCAAACAATTCAATTCAACACTTAGGGATCATCAAACTGCACGATTGTATGACAGTTATTTTTTATAGCAATTTTTATTTAAGAGTCACAAGCTGGTATTACAACAAAAGACTCCAAACTGCACAAGCAGTCTTTGTTGGTAAATTGAAAGCGGAAGTGTCTCCAAGTTATAAAAAGTCTTAGCGGGTTCCAATAGTCACTTGCCAGACTCTGATCAAGTTGTCTGTGTAGCCGGCGAAGAGTGTCTGCAGAAAAGAAAGATCAGTTTAGAGATAAATGCATTATGGCAAGTGTACCAAGATCATTATGCACCTTTGGACAATCTCTGCAGGGTTTGACCACCACTAAGTTTGCTAAATTTCTAGAACATTTCAAAATAAATGTATGCAAGTAATGGCAGCCAATCTTAGACTCTTCCTATACTACAAGGGGAAACCTACAGGGAACAGCAGACATGTGCATACAGCAAATATTACGAGAAAATGAGTTGGAGAGGGGAGGTAAAATCTGCCTCTATGGTCATACTGACCAAACCAACAGGGCAAGCATAAAAATGGTCACTGTGCTGCAGTTCCATATGAACAAAAGCCAGCTATTACAAAATTGTGATTCACAGAAATATTCATTAACAAATGGGCAGCACGTAATAGAATACAGCATATAGGTATATGTCAAATCAGTGAACCGTGAAAAAAAAAAAAAAAAATGCATATGGCTCCAGTCCACTAACATCCACAAGTGTAGCTGAGTGGAATTCTACCCAACACAGCAAATGACCAATGTGTGATTGGCCCACATGAGTAAATCACAAAACGTCCTCCAACGACACCACTGAACAAGACCTTAATTGTAGAAGTCATTGTAAGCCTAATGTACACTAAAAGCACTATCTGCATGTTATTTTTGTAGAATACTCCCTCTATTAAAAAAGAAAAAAAACACTGAGGATTGATTTTATTAATAGCGGTATCAGGTAGGCTCCTTTCACACAGCTGCTCCAATCAGGTCTGCCTGTTTTTCAAGCATCCCTATGGACATATGGGTGTGAACGGACTGGTACCTGTTTACACCTGCCTACCTCCAGATCTGACCATGTCCACATCCTCATCTATTTTGGCAGACCAGATCAGAGGTAGCTAGGTGTAAACTGACAGCCACATCATTTTACATCTGGCCGCCCATAGAACAGAGCTATGTTTCTGTGACAGATGGGTCATCCCCCTACTCTGCTCCGATCAGAAGGGAACTTACAGATCTTCCCAGGTAAACCGGAACAAGTCCACCCTATGTGAAGTAGGCCTTATACTCACAAAATGAAAGAAAACCAGTACATAAACAGTACAGCATACAATAGTAATGATGGGCAACTGCTAAAGGACCTCCTACTCCAGAAGTTGAAGAAAAACAGCCAACAGTATTAAAATCTAATATTTTATCTTCCTATAGAATTGTGCCCAAGACTTATTTTCACACATCAGTTGCACATTTTTAATTTAGCAATACAGTTGTGTCCCCTCACTTTCTCAAAACTAGTCAACTTTTTCCATCCCTGTCCAATTGACATAAAGCTGACCCAGGAACCAATGCTAAAGGGCTAGCAGATTAACCTTCAACTAGCAGAAGTGTGTATCACAAGAACGACTACCATGTAGTTTACACTATACCGATGTACATGATATTTTTACTTTATGTTAGAAGTTCCTGTCCACAATCAAACAAGTCAGCCAAACAATTAAAGTATACATATGTATATAAGCATTCGGATAGCTTGAAGACTAACTGCCTACAGAGGGGAGGGTAAAAGTCTAGAACATCCAAGTGCCAGTATCCCAACAAAAAGTGATTGGCTGGGTAGACTTTTCTTCGCCAATCAGCCTCTACCTAAAGTTCAGGCAAAAATGTCTGAATTTGTTTGGTATGGCTTACAGAAATAGAAAAGTTGTCCCAACATGCTATAAACTGCCAGATGCTCAGTCTGCCCAACATGAGCAGGCACCTTTAAAATGAGCAGTTTAGGCTGCAAAACTTTACCTGTCCATCAGCTGACCAGGCCAGAGAAGTACACTGTGGTGGCTCCGCTTTACTACTTGTGCTAATCACTTCCTGCTTTAGTTCGTCAACAATGATCTTGCCTTCCAGATCCTGTATAAGTGGGGGAAAAAAAACAACACATAAGATATCAAAGAATCAGGATCCACAACTCTAGTACTGGCCATTATTGCTCAGAAACAGCCTCTGATTTTCAGCAATGAGCATCAGATGGCATAAGAAAACATCACGGCAAGAAAGAAAAAACTAAAACATGATTAGAATGCCATTTAGTGGCTAAGACATGTTTCATTTTTTGCTACACTTTTTTGAAAATGCAACATACCCAGATTTTGATGCTGGGTCCTGTTGCTGCACACAGCCAGTAGCGGTGGGGCTGAAGCAAAGGGCGTTGATGACATCTCCACTATCGAGGGTGTACAGGTGCTTCCCCTCATTCAGATCCCACAGCATGGCTTGTCCATCCTGTAAACCAAAAATCCAGATAATTGGGGGTTATAAATCTATGAAGTACAAATATAACTGGAAGAACATGCATTGCTTGGATTCACCAATTTGGTTGAAAGGTCATGGAAAAATGGGTGGTGTTCACGAACCATTAAAAGTGTATATGCACTAATATAGAAGCCAAGAAAGGTTCAGGCACGACTTTACATAAAATCACCCCGAACTTAGGACCTGGATCAATAAAGAATTTATGAACACCAGTCTTAAGCATTTACTGAACATAAATTTGAAAATGTATCACTAGTAGTGTGGACGTTCCCACACTAAGTGCATGTGCTTACTAACTACGCAAATTTACCATCTGATATTCAGGACTTCTATAAAGCCAACAGTTTGCGCAGCGCTTTGCAAAATGAAAGCAAACCGTGAAGTTACAATAAGATTCAATATAAAGGGGAACCAGAAGGCCCTGCACATTAATGCAGATTTCCAGCAACTAAACCAAGCCAATATGGGCTAACAGACTTTTTTGAAAACAAACATCACATAAAGCCCATGAAAAAGTCAGACAGATTAGCTCAAAGAAGGGAGCATTTAAACATGCAACACTCCCAACATCTGCAGCCACAAACCTGCAGACTGATCTCTGGGTAAAGTCCTGTTTAGCCGAATGGTCACTTATAAATTATTTCTCAGAACCATGGATTAGTAAGTGTTGAAGGGGCATATTTATGCTACGAGACCCCTATGTTAGGTGTACAGACCAAAGCCCTTAAAAAGCACAAAACCACATCCTTTACTGAACCTACAAATAAGAATCAGTAAGGTGCAATGCACGATGTACCTAAACAAGGACTTGTGTTATTTGCATCAAAAGAATGCCAACAGGAATTTTCAGATGTGCAAAATTCTGACTAACTGAGCAGTACATATGGCATTTAAGTAGCTGCACTTGACAAGCTTTTGCATTGTGCTGCGTTTCTTTGGAGGCAGCATGTCCCATCAAAGAGTGCCTGAACTGCAGCCAAAGCAGGTCAAACATCCTTTTGTCAAATGCAGCACATGGGAAATTTAGTGCTTGGCTAAAATACACAACACCAAACCCTTAGCATCCATTCACATCCAAGTATTTATCATTCCTGAAGTCAAACAGCGCTCAAGATGAAGAACCCCATTGTCAAGTCATGTTCACATCTAAGGGCTGTGTTGCTTGTCACCATGAAGCTCGAATAAGTACACGTTTTTGCGGCAGAACTGCATGTTTTTAGCCCATGGACTTAATGGGAGCACCGATAAACATCTTCAAGGTGCTGCCATTTAAAGTCTATGAGGTCAAAAACATACGATTCTGCTCCTGCACTACAAAAACCAAAGTACCGCTAAATTGCCTGGCCATGCTCACACCAAGTATGAATGTGCCAAATCAGAGCTGCATTATGATTGCAACAGAAGGATAGGTGACAGCTGTATAGGTCACAATTATCAGTATGCCCCCAACAACACTTCCATACAAATGAATTTGATAAGTCACCTCACCTTGCCTCCAGAAGCACATAGTGACCCATCTGGTGACACAGTCACAGTGTTCAGGTAGCCAGTGTGACCAATGTGGTTGGTCTTAAGTTTGCAGTTAGCCAAATTCCAGACCTAAAAATAAAATATATCCCATGATCAATATATACTCAGTAAAATGGTATAAAGTTTTAATCTGTGGTTTAATCAAAGCAGATTTCATGTTAGATGAAACATTCATAAAAAGTAATCTGTCAAAGTAATTACCACTGCCAAAGCAGCGGGTCACAAGTCTCAGAAGTTGTTGACCTGTCAAGTATCAGACACGTCCCATCATCTGATTGCACTAGACAAGAAAAGCCCCAACACCCTATAGTTCAGGCTCAAAACATAAGTTGCCCTTTAATTGGTTCCAACCCCATTGAGTGCAACACAAGTAATATGCTTGCATTCACCCCTGATCTGTTCAGCATGCTGCCCAGGATTACAGCCGTTGATAAGAACCTCCAAGCTGGGTTCAATTCACATGGCATGTGCACAGATGTCCCATTTATTCCTATCAGATGTCTGAACTCTGCAGGACTGCTGGAGGCAGTCATGAGAACAGCCTTGCAAATGTGAACAAGCAAGCTCATGGTTCACAAGGTGTGAAGGGGAGCCAGCCTAAGGTTCTCTGAGACAATGCTGTGACCCTGGGCAAGGCAGCACCACAAACATTGTAAAATCAAGGCTAATGGTAAGTCACTGAATGAGTTGCACTTGGGGAGGATTTGTAGAATATCAATAGTGATGTTCGTTACCAAGAGAAGAGGAAAAAAAAAAAAAAAAAGTATGCCTGTAAAAGGAAAAATAGCCTCATTTATGTTCTGAGCTGGCTAAATAAAAACTTGCAGCAATAGAAAGTCATATCTTCCCAGTGATGCTAAACTAAAAGAAAAAAAAAATAAATTAGAAAGTCTCAAGAAAATGCACAGGATAGATAGTAAGGTGTCTGCACTCAGAAAATGGAAGTCCGGACAAAATACAGAAAACAGTTTTGTGCTTCTGCCTTAAAAACCCTTTACTACTGACAGGTCAATCCTTCAAGTGGCAGTGCAAACAAGTAGAGAAGGTGCCATGAGAATCCTTTAGGATTATATAAAAGGATGGATATTTCCCCATACACTATCTGTATTACAATTTGTTGTGTATATATATTCATGTATTGTACAGCACAGGGTGATGCTACAGGACAGAGGGACGCAGGCATCCAACACAACTGGTGTCAGATTCTAAAGGTGCTTAGAGCAGTTGAATCTCTAACGTGAAACACCAGGCAGGCAAAACACATTTTTTTACCCATTTGTGATTCTGGCCTGCCTACCTTGTGAAATGCAATTATCTGCTAGCTAGATCACTCCCTGGTTTACCATACAGCTTCCAAAGTCAGATTTTTGGATAGAGGAATTTTGTGTCCAATGAAGATGGAGACCGGGTTGACATAGGAAGCTGAATCAGGAAATTCATAGGGAACTTCCCCTTTACTTTTCAATGCCTCTAAAAAAAATGCATCCTTTAAAAGCACTTAAAAAATCATCAACTATACCTTTTAAATGTATAGAACAGAAAAAAAAAAACTTGAATTTCAGGTTACAGACAAACATTCTTACCTTCACCATCTTGTCCCAACCACAGGAAACTATGATGGGATTGCTGCTGTTGGGTGAGAAACGAACACAGGAGACCCATTCAGTGTGAGATTCCTCCTGGAAAAAAGAATCCAATTAGTAAAATATTTCACACCTAAGATATTTTAAATTAAAGAGTTCCATTGTTTCTCTGGTCCCATCATAATTGCAGGATTGTCAGCCTGTTTGACACTGTTTCTATAAGAAACACTCAGAAGTGATACTCTAATCACAGGGACCAAACATACAAGTCAGCCATAGTCCAACATATCAATGTCTCACCTGCACTGTGTATTTACACACACCCAGTGTGTTCCACAGCTTGATGGTCTTGTCACGGGATCCTGACACAATCTGACGGTTGTCTGCTGAGAAAGCCACACTCAGTACATCTTTAGTATGTCCCACAAATCGTCTTGTCGTGGTGCCGCTGCAACAGCAGAGAAAACCTTTAGTTCTTGTCAATACAATTAAGAGACCTCAAACGCCATTCGGCCTGAACAGCCCAGATCACAATATCCTGGCTTTTCTCACCAAGCAATTTACCAAATGCAGGTTACCACTTACGTTGTAAGGTCCCACAGACGAAGAGTGCCGTCCCAAGAGCCAGACAGAGCAAACTGTCCATCTGAAGAGATGACAACATCGCTGACAAAATGGGAGTGACCACGGAGGCCACGCTGGGGGACACCATAGCTAGTCTCATCGCGGGTCAACTTCCACATGATGACAGTCTTATCTAAAATAAGTGGGTAGGAGGAAAGTGTCACTCAACAGAAAATTTTCATAATTCTATTAAACTATTTGTAATCTACTGTCCTGATCTGTCACAATGCATTTATCTTCTCAGCAATTTCTAAACAGTTATTCTATTCTCTCCCTATATTAGAAAATGTGAGGACAAATAGAAGGCTTTCGAGCAATCCCCTTCTTTTCTTTGAGCTCAATGCTAGTAACAAAGCTCTAAAAGTTCTGAAGAACAAATGGCATGAAAGAAAATATTTTCAAATTTTACCATCCAACAGCTGCTGGAGAGCATTATCAGCCCAAAGCACAGGTAGAAGAAAGGTTAACCTTCATGGGGCCTTACAGCCTGACATTACTATTCTAACATGAAGATATTACAGCAGACAAGACCTTGAGGAGCAAGGCTGCTACATTTCAGAAAGCTTACACCCCTTCTAGTTTTATCAATCCCTTCCCTGCACTAAAAGCTGCCAGATTCACAATTCTTTGTAATGCCACTGGGGAGATTTTCCCTCACTTTCCGATTCCGTGACATTTCATTAATAAAGTGATTGGGGTGAAAAAAACCAAAGAGGGTCCACGACTGCAACATACACTTAAGTGTAGGTATGTGTAAGTATGTACAGTCAGAATTTTTGGATACAGGAGGAAAGTGTTACAAACTGTCTTTTTGCTGTAAGTGTTCTATTGGGAAATTTAACTTCCAGTCCCAGAGATGCAACAGGAAATTGGAGGGACCTCTATAAATGGAGAAAAATTTCCTTTTAGACAGTTGTCACCAGAACAGGTGTCACTGGAAAATGTATCCTTACCTCTTGCTCTGGTGACAACTTTAAGACTTCAGATTTCCCATTACTTTGCGCCAGCGATAAGGCTCAGTACAATTAGAGGGTGAATCTACCTAGAGAGGACGATAACAAAAGTCTTGATAGAGGCTCTAATCCTTCCCAACAACCCAAAACTTCAAAAATGTTTTGACTATACATACAGTAAGACTGGAACTAGTGGCATATTGCCACCAAACTCGAGTAGCTATAAGCATTCCTTCTTGATTGTGTGGTCACAAAACAATGTGTAAGTGCTACTCAGTTCTGAAGTGCTGTGAGCCCTGTCTTGAAAGGGGGGAGGGGGGGTGGCGGAGTGTAAACGACAGGCTGGGGTCATAGGGGATGACAGGGTTGCCCTGAACCACTGGTGCTGGACCCTGGAGAGAACAGGTAGAAATTGTGACTTTTCCTGCCATTACACTTAATGTGCATCTGGGCTTTTCTCTTATTTTGAAGAGTTGTGAAGGGTTAGACCCTCAAGTCTGTATTGCCTTTTGTGCCCCCACTGGGGAAATTCACTCTGCATGTACAGGTGAACCTCGGCACCAGAACAAATGTAGCCATGGAGCCTGGTCAGAACCGGGCTGAAAATCTACTTTATTGCCTTACTCTAACCCAGTGTTTCTCAACTCCAGTCCTCATGGACCCCCAACAGGTCATGTTTTCAGGATTTCCCTCAGATGAAACAGCTGTGGTAATTACTAAGGCAGTGAAACTGATCAAATCACCTGTGCAAAATAATGGAAATCCTGAAAACATGACCTGTTGGGGGTCCATGAGGACTGGAGTTGAGAAACACTGCTCTAACCAAACCTACAAAGTGTGGCCTATACCACATATAAATGATATAACTCAATATAACTTGCACTTTATCAGCCATGCATGTGAGCCTGCAACTCTTAGATAAGGCAAGTAATAAAGTGTCAAATCCATGACAGACGTCACACAGGAAGACCGAGCCGTACTATAAAGACATGCTACACCTATGGAGTCACCCACATTATAAACAAGCCATGACCTTCACTACCCAACCTATACAGAGCCTCACAGAGGGTTAGCCAGTCACATCAGGAAACAGTCAAATACAGGAGACTGTCAGGCTGGTCATATCACAGAGACAGGGAGAAGCAGAGTAAGTGGTCCCATCTGCACATAGATCTGGACCTGTACAGATCAAAGGAGGGCAGTTTTGGCAGGCTGTCCCCACCGGGCCACCCCAGACCATGGAGAGGGCAGGCCGGCCGCACAGACCATGGAGAGGGCAGGCCGGCCCCACAGACCATGGAGAGGGCAGGCCGTCCCCACAGACCATGGAGAGGGCAGGCCGTCCCCACAGACCATGGAGAGGGCAGGCCGTCCCCACAGACCATGGAGAGGGCAGGCCGTCCCCACAGACCATGGAGAGGGCAGGCCGTCCCCACAGACCATGGAGAGGGCAGGCCGTCCCCACAGACCATGGAGAGGGCAGGCCGTCCCCACAGACCATGGAGAGGGCAGGCCGTCCCCACAGACCATGGAGAGGGCAGGCCGTCCCCACAGACCATGGAGAGGGCAGGCCGGCCCCACAGACCATGGAGAGGGCAGGCCGGCCCCACAGACCATGGAGAGGGCAGGCCGGCCCCACAGACCATGGAGAGGGCAGGCCGGCCCCACAGACCATGGAGAGGGCAGGCCCGCGTCCGCACCGGGCCCGCACAGACCACGGAGAGGGCAGGCCGTCCCCACAGACCATGGAGAGGGCAGGCCGTCCGCACCGGGCCCGCACAGACCATGGAGAGGGCAGGCCGTCCCCACAGACCATGGAGAGGGCAGACCGGGCCCGCACAGACCACGGAGAGGGCAGGCCGTCCGCACCGGGCCCGCACAGACCACGGAGAGGGCAGGCCGTCCGCACAGACCACGGAGAGGGCAGGCCGTCCGCACCGGGCCCGCACAGACCACGGAGAGGGCAGGCCGTCCGCACAGACCACGGAGAGGGCAGGCCGTCCGCACAGACCACGGAGAGGGCAGGCCGTCCGCACAGACCACGGAGAGGGCAGGCCGTCCGCACAGACCACGGAGAGGGCAGGCCGTCCGCACAGACCACGGAGAGGGCAGGCCGTCCGCACCGGGCCCGCACAGACCACGGAGAGGGCAGGCCGTCCGCACCGGGCCCGCACAGACCACGGAGAGGGCAGGCCGTCCGCACCGGGCCCGCACAGACCACGGAGAGGGCAGGCCGTCCGCACCGGGCCCGCACAGACCACGGAGAGGGCAGGCCGTCCGCACCGGGCCCGCACAGACCACGGAGAGGGCAGGCCGCCCCCACCGGGTCCGCACAGAGAGGGCCGACCGTCCACACCAGGCCTGCAGAGGCATCCCAGCCACATACACACACTAGCAAAGGAGTGCACACCCTACAGCCACGTAATCCAGTGACCGTCCGACACACATCGATAGAGAGGAGTCTACACATGTATCTCACCCCGGGAAGAGCTGAGGATCATGTCCGGGAACTGCGGGGTGGTAGCGATCTGGGTAACCCAGCCATTGTGACCCTTAAGGGTCCCCCGAAGGGTCATCTGCTCGGTCATGACTGCAGAGGGTCTGTAGACGCTCCACCGGAGAAGGATGGAGGGGGATTCTCTAAGACGGGTCTAAAGACACCGGGAAAAGGCGGAAACGCGGGCAAGCGCCGCTTATATAGGAAACGTGCTCCACCTGCGTCATCACGTCACGGCAGGAAATACGTCAGTCTGCCATTCCCAATATGGCGGAGTGTGCGGCTTAGCTGTCAATGTATAATGTAGATGTACTATGCTGGTGACAACGCAGAATTAAACACGAGAGCGATGTATTGTGTCATGACACCAGCCGCCGCATATTGTCTTTATGTGACAAGGAACACTGTAGTGAATAATGGATATAGGAGAGGACTTTTACCTTTTATTGGCGGCTGGGAATTACTTTTCTTATAACTTTATTTAAAGAGGAAAACTAAAAACATACTATAAATACTGTGCATTGGGACTCAGCAAATGAACAGACACAGCTACTGCTTGCAGTGTGACATCTGTGCAGGTGCACCCTCCCAAACGTATCTGGGTGCACTCGGGGCCGTGCACTTGCATGGGCACAGATTGTCACATTGGGAGCAGCAGCTGCTGAATCCCAGTTCACAGCAATGAGACTCAGGCCAGGACTGGGCCAAAAAAACAGGCCTCAGTAATTTGGACAGCAGCCCTAAATCTGGGGACCCTTTCCTCAGAGCGCGGTGGCAGAACACCAGAGCCCAGTCGCAAGAGCAACCTTTGTGACCCTGGTAGTTCCACCACTAGTGTCAGTAGGTTTTTATTTTTATTTAATTTTTTGCAATGTTATATTTTATAAGGAGAGAAGCAGGAGACAGAGAGAGAGAGAAAGAAGAGAAACAGGAGACAGAGCGAAAGAAAGAGAGAAGTATAGAAAATAAAAAAGGAGAGAAACAGGAGACAGAAAGAAAGAGAGAAATATAGAACGAAAGAATGGAGAGAAACAGGAGATAAAGTAAGAAAGAAGGAGTGAGAGAGAGAAAGAGAGAACGAAAGAAAAAGAGAGAGAAAGAAGGGAAGAAAAAAAAGGAGAGAAACAGCAGAGAGAGAGAAAAAGAAAGAAGTATAGAAAGAAGGAGAGAGAGAGCGATAAAGGAAAGAAAGAAGAGAAACAGCAGACAGATAGAAAGAAAGAAAAGAGAAAGAACAAAAGAAAAGAGAGAGAAAGAAAGGAGAGAAATAGCAGACAGAGAGAGAGAGAATATAGAAAAAGAGAGAGAGAGAGAGAGAGAAAGAAAGGAGAGAAACAGAATACACACAGAGAAAGAAATAAGTATAGAAAGAAAGAAGGAAAGAGAAAGAAAGAAGAGAAACATGAGACAGAGAGAGAGAGAGAAAGAAAGAAAGAGAAGTATAGGAAGGAAGAAGGAGAGAGAAAGAAAGGAAAGAAGAGAAACAGCAGAGATAGAATATAGAAAATAGAGAGAGAAAGGAAAGAGAGAGAGCGAGAGAGACAAAGAAAGGAGAGAAACAGGAGACAGGCAGAAAGAAAGAGAAGTATAGAAAGAAGGAGAGAGAGAAAGAAAGAGAAGTATAGAAAGAAAGAAGGAGAGAGAGAGAAAGAAAGAAAGGAGAGAAACAGCAAAGAGGGATAAAAAAAGAAATATAGAAAGAAAGAGATATATAGAACGAAAGGAGGGAAAGAAAGAGAGAGGGAAAGAAAGAGAGAAAGTAAGAAGAGAAACAGGAGACAGAGAAAGAGAGACGAATAGAAAGAAAGAAAGAAGGAGAGAAACAGCAGACAGAGAGAGAGAAATAAAGAAAGAGAGAGTGAGAGAAAGAAAGAACGAAAGAAAGAGAAAAAAAGGAGAGAAATAGCAGAGAGAGAGAGAAAGAAAGAAGAGAGAGAAAGAAACAAACAAAGAAAAAGGAAAGAAATAGCAGAGAGAGAAAGAGAGAATATAGAAAGAGAGAGACAGAAAAGAAAGAAAGAGAAAAAGAAGGAAAGAGAAAGAAAGAAGAGAAGCAGGAGACAGAAAGAGAAAGAAGGAGAAGTATAGAAAGAAAGAAGGAGTGAAAGAAAGAAAGAGAAATAGCAGAGAGAATACAGAAAGAGAAGAGAAACAGCAGAGAGAGAGAGAAAGGAAGGAAGGAAAGAGAAAGACAGAAAGAAAAAGAGAGAAGGAAAGGAGAGAAACAGTAGAGAGAGAGAGAGAGAGAAAGAAAGAAAGAAAGAGAGAAATATAGAAAGAAAAAGGAGAAATACATAAAGAGAAAGAAAGGAATAAAAAGAAAGAATGGAGAGAAACAGAAGACAGAGAGAGAGAAAGAAAGAAAGAGAAAGAAAGAAAGAAAGAAAGAAAGAAAGAAAGAAAGAAAGAAGAGAAACAGCAAATCGAGAGAGAGAGAGAGAAATAAAGGAGAGAAAGAGAAAGAAAGAAGAAGGAGAGAGAGAGAGAAATATAGAAAGAAAGGAGAGAAACAGGAGACAGAAAGAGAAAGAAGAAGGGGATAGAGAAGATACAAGATTGCCGGGGAGTGTGCGTGGGGCAGATGCAGGAGGAGAGGGCAGGAGGAGGGGCAGAACCAGCTTTCTCTTTCCTCTCCCATCTGTGGTGAGGGAGAACTGTCAGCACTGGGGATAGAATATGCTGACAGATGCCCCATCATTGGTGTCAGTGGGAGGAAAAGTGCCCCCTCATTGGTGTCAGTGGGAGGAATAGTGCCCCATCATTGGTGTCAGTGGGAGGAGTAGTGCCCCATCATTGGTGTCAGTGGGAGGAATAGTGCCCCATCATTGGTGTCAGTGGGAGGAATAGTGCCCCATGATTGGTGCCAGTGGAAGGAAAAGTGCCCCCTTGAAGCTCTCCCCATTGTGTCTTTTCCCCTATGCTAGCATTGTGTCCACAGTAGCATTTGCGTAGGCAGAGCAGAGTAGGACTGGCCATAGAGGGATTACTTTGACGCAGTTGGCCATCTTAAGCATGTATTGCAATATGTGTGAACTAAATATCCCTATTTATTGCATAGTCTGCTTGAAAGGGTATATACCAGAGTGCAGAGGGTCCTTCAGAATTTCTAGTGTTAATATGTGGTTACACCCCTTTAGCACCTGATGGATAAATGCATGCACTAGCTGTTGGGATTTGAGCACAGGGATCTCTTGTTTGTTAGTGGGAGGAAAGTGCCCCCTCATTGGTGTCAGTGGGAGGAATAGTGCCCCATCATTGGTGTCAGTGGGAGGAGTAGTGCCCCATCATTGGTGTCAGTGGGAGGAATAGTGCCCCATCATTGGTGTCAGTGGGAGGAATAGTGCCCCATGATTGGTGCCAGTGGAAGGAAAAGTGCCCCCTCATTGGTGTCAGTCACATCAATAATGGGGCACTATTCCTCCCACTGACACCAATGATGCTTACATTGCTGACCCCTGCTCCAGCCCGGGCTCCCTCCCTCTCCCATCCACAGCCAGCATACCTATCTGCAGCAGCACCATCTGCTCAGCCCAGATCCCATCCGCACAGACACTTACCTTACCGATTAGCTGTCTTCCTCTGCCGGCTGGTCCCTCACTCGATCTTCTTTGATCATCACGTTGCTGCTCGGCTCCTCCTCTCCAAGCTCTGCTTCCTCACCGGTGATTGGCCGCCTGTGTGCCTTTCCTGACCTACAGATCCGTTGGCCAATCACCGGTGAGGAGGCAAAGCTTGCAGAGGGAGGGACAGGCTTCCATAGGCTGCCCAGTGATCCCGGGGGTGTGGCCATATGAGAGGGGCGGCATGTCATCCCGCCCACATCGCAATCAAGATCCAGGAAGATGAAGACACAGGATGGACATCCTCTCCACCCCTCCTCCAGCAGCGTCTCGTGGACCGGATCAAAGTCGCTTTCCCACAGAAGTGTCCCTTTCGTAGGAATGGAGGGGGCGGCGACGCCCCCCTGAAAAGTGCCGCCCTAGACAAAAGCCTTGTTTGCCTTGCTGCAAATACGCCCCTGGATCTATTGTGGTACAAGCCGCCCCATGGGCTTATCTCTTTTATTTACTTAAGACAGTTTCACTATCACTACACTACCAGAGCTCTGACACGAGAGATGCTGCTCTCTCATACAGCAGCCACGGTGCCCCCCTCCCCCCCACACTACTGCTCCTTTGTTTAGGACCTCAGCCACTTTGAGAAATATTGAATGGAAAACTCCAGGCTTGGAAGGTATCTAACAAGCTGCCAGCTCTAGGACTTATGATACCAAATCCAAATAGCATACGTGTAAGAGTGCAGCTCTGAAAACAGTGCATTTATACCAGGGGGAGTGGCCACTCCCCTTGATGACATCAGTTCTGACAAAATGCATTGTGTTGGGCCAATGGAAGTGACGTCACCACGCATGCCGATACCAGAATTGGCTCCATGTAATGAAACAGAGGCTGATCGGATGGTATAGTTGCAATGTGCTCTGTTTTTGGCTACCAGCAGCTCTTGTTTTTAGTGATGTAAGTGTGCATCTGATTTTATTAAACTTGGATGCTCATTTATACTACACTATGAGAGCCTTTTTTTTTTTTAATGCATTATCAGCAGGGCCAGTGCTATTTTACACCCTAGGCAAGACCAGCTACTTGTGCACCCCCCCCCAAAAAAAATAAACATTTTAAAAAACAGTAGAAAAGATTAAATCAACAAAACATAAAACTGTTGAATTTCTTTTAATTTGCAAAAATAAGTGCCATAATACGCCACCAGCACCAATATTAACCTCTTGCCCTCGTGAGCATTTACCCCCCCTTCCTGACCAGGCCATTTTTTGCATTACTTTGCTGCGTTACTTTAACTGACGATTGCACGGTCATGCAACGCTGCACGCAAATTAAATTTACGTCCATTTTTCCCACTAATTGTGCTTTCTTTCGGTGGTATTTGATCACCTGTGCATTTTTTATTTTTTGTGCTATAAAAAAAAAGACCGACAATTTTGAAAAAAAAAACAAAACAATATTTTTGAATTTTTGCTATTAAACATGTCCAGTAAAAAAAAAAAAAAATAAAATTTCGCCATAAATTTAGGCCAAA